ATCTCCGGCGAACACTTTTATTTCCTGCGAATACCTCTATCTCCGGCGAAGCAGTAAGCTCCCTTTTCTCCGCAAAATTTTTCATTTATTTTTAGATCTAGGATGATGCTGTTCAGATCTCGGTGGTGGTGGTGGGTTTCGGTGGTGGTTTTGGGTGGTCAGTGGGGTTGGGTGGTGAATTATTGGTATAATACAAAACAGGTTTTTTTATTTTTGTTTTCACAATTTATATTAATGTGTTATATTTTTAATTTTTATCACAGAAAAACAAAAACTAGTTTTTTTTAATAAAAAAAACATAAAAACGAAAACGTTAACAAATCCACCCTAAAAAATCACCATAAAAAATTGTACAGTTTAGAACTTTTTTTTTCCCCTCCTTTTCTTTACAAGTTACAGTAGATGTAATCAAGAAATATGAACCCCAATATCAGCGGAAGATTAGTCTGCATAGAACTTCAATTTCAACCTAGAGTTGTGTAACCGAGTTTAAAAATTCATGCATTGAAGTACCAATCAGGTTGAATTCGATATAATTCTTGTCTTTTGACTGTTTGTTTTGGACTCTTTGTGTAGAGAGGGAGAGAGAACCTGAAAGCATCGTCCATCAACTTTTTTTTTTTTTTTTTTTATCTCTATCTTTCTTTTTTCATGTCCCGTAATTTATATATTACTAGAGCAACTCGTGACATCACGGTGCAATGCAGAGGTGGATTTAAAGTGGGGGCAGCTGCCCCTACTGGAATTTTTAAAGTATTTGGGGAGTTAGGTGATATTTTAGAATATGTTAAAAGTTGCCCCCACTAGAATTTTAAAAATGTTTGGGGAGTAAGATAAAATGTTCGAAATTTTAAAATATGTTAGAAGGTTCCCCCACTGAAAATATTTTAAACTCAAGACTAGTCATGTATTTTCTCAAACATGTGGGGTTCTTTAGTCTTAGCAACAACAAAAAATACTTCTACTTTTACTTTTCAGAGATCACAGCTAAGAACTTCACTCCTACAATTCTAGAATTGGTCTCCCTATATATATATATTTGTTGTGCTATTTTTGTATGTTAAATTAATATAGAGAATTGCAAGTTGTTAAATTTAATGACATTGTTATATTTAGAATTCACATGTTGTGGACTATTTTTTGGATTAAACCATTTGGTTCGATGGGCTTGAGGAATCTGATTGTGAGAAATTAGGATGTTTATATGTCTAAGTTTGATTTACTAGACTTGTATTTATGTTAAAAATTGTTTGATTTCCTAAACTATTTTGATTGATTGGGATTGAATAATAAATTATTTTTGATAAATACTTCTCAATAAGGTACATAGTAAAAAGTCGAGAGATCAATAGATGAATGATTACTTGGCTACATATGTTGAGAAAGAATTTTCAAATATCATTTGTGAAAACTTGTTGAAACGATTATGAAGATTTTCAAGAATTTGGATTTTTTCATGTGTTGAATCAATTCATTATTGGGCACTATTTTTTTGATACAAAAGTATTTTTTGGTACAATTTTATAGTGGACTTTTTTTGTGAACTCTTTTTGTATATTACTTGTATATGTCATTTCGATGAAACTATACTTTTGTAAAATAGTATTAACACTCCGAGTTTGAGCATTCATATATCTACACATTTTAAAATAGTATAGATAATTTCATCCCAAATACTCAACATAACTTCTCATAAGTAGTGTTTGGAACTTATTTTAATTACTTCCAAATAATTCAAAAGTAGCTAGTAAAAGTAAAAAAAATAACTTCTACTTCTTTAAGATCACTTATCTACAAAACACTTCACCACTAGCACTGCTTCAACCCCACCACCATTGCCACCACGCACTACCACCACCACCACCATCGCCACCACCCACTACCACTACCACCATCATTACCCATCACTAATTGTTACCACCACCGCCGCCCACGACCATCATTATGTCATTCTTATATTTATTATCACTACCACCATCATCCCACCACCACCATCCGCCACCCACCACCACTACTCGTCGTCGCTCACCACCACCGGCATCCACTGTCACCCAACCCCACCACACCTACCACCGCTATTCGCCACCACCCACTACCACCGTCGTCCGCAAACACCCGTCATCGCCCACCCTCACTCACACCCACCACCATCATCGTCATTGACCACCACCACAACTCTCCATCGCCACCCACCACTACCACTATCGTCGCCCCACTGCCAACCACCACCACCATCGTCACTCATGGCTATCACTACCACCATCATCACTCAAAATTCACCACCACCATCACCGTTGCCACCCACGACTGCTACCACCACGGTCGTCGTTGCCCAAGTCTGCCACCACTACGGCTCACCCCCATTACAACTAGAGTTTAAATTCTTTTCTCTCTACTCTATATTTATGATTTGATTTTAGATGTGAATACAAATATGTTTAGGGTGAGACTATTCTCACCCCCACAAATCTTCGTTTCTATCCCATTAAATTATAAATCATGAAACTAATAAGTTGAACCCATCTATATCCACCCCACTAATAACTAAGTCCACCTCATTCTATACTAACTCCATTAATAACTGAACTTATCTCAATCTTTACTTTTAAGGTTTTTTCCTACACCCCATATCACTTAGTCTATACAAAATATATTCAACTGGATTGTCTATTAAAACTAAACAAACAATTATGCATAAAATATGTGATTCAAGGAGGGAGACTTGATAATCTTTTTTTTTCCATTTCAAGAAAACTTAGCTTCAAATGCGACCTCCAATGAAGACTCCAAGAAATTTCTTTCTATTTATTGATAAATTGCGTGTGAATATCTTTTTTTCTGTGAATTCCTTCAATCGGCGATTAAGAAAAGAAGAGAAGCTCATTGTAGAATTGAAGTATTATTCTAATGATGAGATCAAAGAAGATAGAGATCGGACGGCGACAGTTGAAGCAATTTACATGAAAGAAACCCAAAGTGAAATTCAATTGAGTATATTTTGTGTATAAACTCTGTGAGATAGGTATAGAAAGAAACCCTAAAGATAAAGATTGAGATAAATTTTGTTATTAATTTTATTGGTATAGAATGGGGTGAACTTAATTACTAGTAGGATGGATATAAAAGGGTGAACTTAGTAGTTTTATGATTTATAGTTTAATGGGTGGGAATGGAGATTTGTGGGATGGAAATAACTCTATTCTTTGTTATTAATAGGTTGGGTATAGAATAGGGTAAACTTAGTTACTAGTGGGGTGAGTATGGGTGAACTTAATAGTTTTATGATTTAGAATTTAATGGGTGAGAACGGAGATTTGTAAAGGGTGTGAATAGCTCCGCTCTTTATTATTAATGGGGTGGGTATATAGTGGGGTGGGTATAAAATGGGTGACCTTAGTAGTTTTATGATTTAAAGTTTAATAGGGTAGAAACAGAAATTTGTGGAGTGAGAATATCCCCCCTCATATGTTTATGATTGACAATTTTTTTTATTTTTCTTTGCATTCAGGCACAGGTAATAACTAGACATAGTATATACAACAATATCAGGCCATAATAGTTAATTGGTCAGTTATTATTTATAAAGACTTAAACTCTGAGAAAATTCTGCCACTATTTCAACAATTGTCGCTCTATAGAAACCAAAAATCTTTTCCAATAGGACTTAGAAATAAAAGTTAACAATAATAACACTAGTATAATAACAATCCAATTTGGGCAAGGGACAAATAGTATACCATCATATCAAGTAACATCCAAAAAATGAAATAGCAACATATAAAATATACATCATAGTAACATGCATTATATAAAAAGTAAACAAGTTTCAACCATATTTTACCAACGCCCAAAGACGTATGTACTATCATATGAAGAGTTGCAAGTGACCTTATCATGACTCGTATATGCATGGGCTTACTGCACCAATAGGTTTTGTTAGGTTAGGGGTGGCTAGAGAGCTAAGAAGCATGGATACGATGCCACACGAATACGCGAATACGACAATTTAAAAAAAAAAATATGACACATACACGTTCGGAACACGCTATAGATAATTGTGTTTTATATAAATCACATAATTTATCACAAATATAGTAATAATGATATTTTATTTATATAATATTCAATACTTCACGATAAATATTATGTCTAGTCATCTAGTGTAAATTTTTAGACTAACATCATAATAGTCAATAATCATCAACTTTTTCGTAGACGTGTATTAAATATATATAATTTAAATGATTGCTCTGATTTCCTCAATTGCTCTTTTTAAAATTTTTATTGTATCTTTTGTTTTTGTTATTATATTTTTAGTACAACTTTAACATATCTGAGTAATTATATGTTCTCTCATAGTATAAGATATTTAGCAATCAAATTTTTAAACTTTGTTGATTACATGTCAACACACGTTTATTCTTTAGTAATAACCACAATCTAAAGAAGTGTCAAACACGTGTCCGAAATTAAAAATTTTTTTTTAGTATTATCTTCTTTTCATTTTTTTTTTTTGGTCAAATGTTATTGTGTGAGACCATTGGATATCAATTTATAATTTGTTTATTGAATTGAGCTTTCATGAGGCTTTCTTTTAGGACTTATTCTCAATGGGTTTAATTTTTTGGGCTGGGTCATATTTATAGACCAATGAAATTTGGGGCCTTCTCTAAGGTTGGGGCCTAAAGCTCTTGCTTCACTGGCCTTATGATTGGGCCGGCACTGTGTTGGGTAAGATGGACTTTTAGGTACTAGTAATGCAGCCAAAGTTTGCAGTAAATTCTGTGCAAGGGTAACTTGTGGGTATTATACTTGATGCAAACAGCCAAACAAGTGTCAAACTTAATAGTCAAAATTAAAAATGCTTTCGTAAGACATCATTACTCTTGAAACATAGCCAGTGTTCATCCTTAAGATCCCACCTCAAAGATATTGAGGAGATGAGAAATTCGTTATGCAAAAATTTTCAATTGAATTAGGAAACAGCAAAAGACAAGCAACTAGAACTAATAAGAAACATAGCTAATTCAATGAATTTGTCAAATTCACCATCTTATGATAATCTAGAAAGCAAAAAAAAAAAAATTACAACTAGGAATATACTAGCACATAAATATCACATATTACAAGATAACAGAGAAGATGACCTAACCTGTCCTGTCAACAATCAACTGCGAAAGGATAAAATATTGCAGGCTCACTACACATCCACAACCAGGTCCCCGAGCAGTTTCTAACCCATATGGCATCACATAGTGGTGATAATACACTTCAATCTTGAAGTTGTCACACACTTCTCCCTCCAAGAGGAAATTGTGCAATTAGCTGATCAAAATGCTATTGCACATGCGGATCTGTTATGTTCTTCCAAGCCCTTGGCAAGTATGTTACTAACGGTATCTTGCATGTTTAAATTTTCATAGCCAGATAATTCACTGTCTGTTTCTTTTCTAACAGCAGATCCCATCAACAATCCATGAGTAATAGCATCAGGAACCCACCCCTTCTCCAACATCATATCTAAGAAGTGACAGGCCTCCCTTTTGTATCCTTCTTTCCAGAGGCCATTTATCAATATGTTGTACATTGCTGAATCAAGAATCTCACATTTCAAGACAAACTTATCTATTGCAAGCGAAATCATATGCATCTGAGAATGTTTGGCCAGACTTATAAGTAGATTAGCTAGTGTTTCTGAATCAGGTAATAAACCTTCACTAATCATCAAATTGAAAAATAAAATAGAGCCCTTTGTTTTTCCTTGTAAAGCCATGCTTTGTATGAGGATGCAATATGCTTCCACATCAAGCGGACAACCCTCTACCACCATTCGAGAAAGCATTACTAAGAGATCATTTGGCTTTCCTGACTTAAACAAACCTACCATGATTGTACTGTAGGTGGCATTATAACAAGATGTACCAGAGTAGTGGGCCAATGGCAGCAGCCTGATCGCTCTATCAACCTTTCCTGTTACACAAAGTCCCTTGACCAACATATTGAACGAGGAGGAGTGAAGAGCCCATCTATTACTAGACATATAGCAAAACACTTCAACTGCCTCTAGAATATTTTTCCTCTGGCAAAGGCATTCAACAAGCTGAGCATAAGAGACAGAATCCAAAACCCAACATTTTGTGCAAACTTTATGAAATAACTGCACAGCATCCTCAAGCTCCCTCAGTTTACATTTGCCAACAATAAGAGCAGAGAAAGTGGCAGGATCGGGAATAAATGAAGAAACAATCATTCTACAGAGGAATTCCAGTGCTTTATCAAGCTCTGCATTCTCACATAGGCATCTGATAAGAATATTCCAAGATTGGTTGTCAACTATGTTCCTTGCAACCATTGCATCGAACATATGTTTTGCTGATATGAAGTTACCAGCATTGCAATAAGCTCTAAGAAGTGCATTGTGAGGACAAACTTTGATAACATGCTTATCTTCCAACAACTGCTTAGCTACACTAAATTTATCCAACTTGCAAAACGCCTCTATCATATCCGCAAACACATCATCAGCTAGCATTAAGCCATTATCCATCATCTCATCAAGAAGGTTTATTGCATCATCCATACAAAGCTTCTCACAGAAACACTGTATCAAAACCTCATAAGTCATTGAATTTGGTGAAATATTAGAAGCTCTCATCATTTTAAACAATTTCATTCCTACCTCCAGTTTGTTCATCCTACAAAATATAGGTATTATATTGGTATAAAAACTCAAATCTGGCTCACAGCCAAGTTCAAACATTTCATCTAAAACAACAATAGATTCATCCACTCGGTGCCTAGCAATAAAACCGTTAATTAGTATCTCAAAGGTCCTACTATTAGGATGACACCCTTTCTTATTCATCCTTCTGTATTGATCCAAAGAAGTGTCAACCCGGTTGGCCTCAAACAAAGCCTCCAGAAGATAATTCAAGGTATCTACAGTGGGAACTATTCCCGCTTTCACCATCTCTTTATATACAAACAACACATCTTGAAAATCCCTCTTCTCCTCCACAAGTGCACCCAATAAGATATTAATTACATCTATTGAACTACTATAACCACCTGAATTCATACTAGCAAAAACCCGTAAAGCTTCATTAAACCTGCGAGATCCAACAAATGAATCTATCAATGTCAAAAGAGCTTCTTGTGAACCCGGGCATCGCTCCATTACCATTTCATTACAAAACCCCTCCATTTCATCAATATTTCCAGCCAAACCCAATTTCCATATTATCCGATAGTAAGTCTCCGCGGTGTGGCGAAACCGTCTTTGACGGGAAACCCATTTGAATAGTTTCACTGAAGAACTTACATCATCTGTGCAATCTAAAATCCGAAGTAAACCTTCCGGATATAGATTGTTGTTTAAAAATTGAACCTTCGCTTCAAATTCAGAAGAATTTGATGGATTTTGATCATTTTGTGGGATAATTTGAAAGCTATTTGCACATGGAACAGAAGAAAGATAGGCATGTAAACGGACCCATTTGGGGATATTCTGGGAAATTGTCAACGATGAGAGCTTTACAGCCATTAGAGGAGCTCATTAGCAGTCAAAACTAATTTTTCACATAAAAATAATTTGTATGTGATGTAATTGTATATGTATTTGAGATAAAAAATAGGAAATTTTTGAGTTCTGACCTGAGAATTGTGCCTCCACAGAATGGTTGATAGGACAGCGAAAAGGTTTTTGAGATTGTGAAGATGGAAGAGGTTTTTGGTCTTTCACTACTATACGAGGCAACTCAGGCGCGTTGTTCGCCTGCAACGTTTTCCCAGCATCTGCCATTTTTCATTTGGAAAAGGGCTAGTCGTAGCGGTGGTCTCAAAGTTTGTACGTTTTATCATTTTAGTCTCAAATATTACGGTATAATCTATAATACAATTTAAATTTTAAAAAATAAATAAAATAATTTTTATTTTTCGCGATTGAAATCACTTTAAATTTTATTTTAAAATTAATTTAATGGTTAATATTAACACTCCAAATTTAATAGGAAAAAGAGACCGTAAGAATATATTTGAAATAATTTTTTAAAAGTATTTCTAGAAATTATAATATTTTATAAATACTTTAAAAAAAATAATTTTTAAAACTACCCGACTATCACACCACCCCGGCCGCCATTGTCCCCACCCCCACCTCCATCCCCATTACCCCCACCATCATTATCACCCCTATCATTGCCACCGCTGTCGTCACTGTCATACCATCATCCCTACCACCATTACCCCAATTGTCCCACCACGACTCTCACCACCATTGTCATTGTCACCACCACTATCACTGCTTATTCATTATCACCCCTATCATTGCCACCGCTGTCGTCACTGTCATACCATCATCCCTACCACCATTACCCCAATTGTCCCACCACGACTCTCACCACCATTGTCATTGTCACCACCACTATCACTGCTTATTCTTATTATGATCAGTGCTTAAATTCTTTTCTTTTTTTTCTGCATTTGTGATTTGATTTTAGGTGTGAATACAAATATATTTATTGTTTACCATTTGTTTATTATTTTGTACTTTCAAGCACAGACAATAACTAATTATATTATATTGGTCTTTAATATATTAAATTTGTTTTTAAGTGATTGTATAATTTTATAGTTCTTCTCACATACTCTCAAATGAAGGAAATTTTAGATAAATCGTTGTCCACTTAATTCAAAAATTATAGTAGTAATCTCAATCCAAAGTATACTCTCTGTCTCATTTTGGACCTCTACATTACAATAAGTTAAGGACTAATGTGATACTATTATAATAATGGGGACCAAAATGAGACAGATTATATATTTTACAGACTATTGCTGCAATTTTTGGATCAAGTAAACAAATTTATTTGAAATACCCTTCATTTGGAAGTATATCTAAAGCACATGAGTAAAAGCCATTAAAAATTTTGACGGTGTTATACGTGGAGATCACTTAAAAATAAATTCAATACATTAGAGATCATTGTGATATAATTTTAATAGTAGGGACCAAAAACGAGACGAATTGTAAACTTTAGGGACCTTGAAAATAGTATTTGAACCTAGAAACTTAATCTTGTTGGATTAAGATTAGACTTGATATAACATTTGATATAATTTTTTTTTGGGAGTAAATTATATTTTAAACTTAATCTTTTTAACATTTGATTTTATTTTGTCTCTTGAATTATTAAAATTTTGAAAAATTTGGTGACAAGTCCAATTTATAACTTGTCAAACTAATTGTTCACGCGTTGTCCTTTTAAGGTAATAAAGACAAAAATATAGTGATAGACAAATCTACACTTAATGAAACTGTGCAACATCAGTCTAGAAGTGTGTCCTAAAAGTTTAAACATAATTTTAGTACATAATTTATTGTGACTATTGGATTGACAGTGGAGTACATTTAATGTTGAACTCATAGATAATCTAATGGTCACACTCATTGTGTCAAACGTGTCGGGTTAAACGGTTATGTGTTAGATTAAATGGGCGACAGGTATAAAATATGTAAACTCGTACACAATACATTTAATAAACGAGTAAAAAATCAAAACATAAACGCGAACTGTTTAATAAACGAGTAACACGATACGACTCGTTTAACCCGTTTAATTTTAAACTAGTTGTGTTGGATAGGGTCAGGTTAACACGGTAAACCACTTGTTTGACTCATTTACCTATTTATTTAAAAATGTTATATAACTTTATAAAACTAACAAACTAACAAAAAAAATGATATTTAGAGGTACCACACCATATTATAAAGTACAAACTATAATCCAAAATAATCAAATTTCATCAACAACCATATTACAAATCATAAATACAATCTAAAATAACACAATTACACCAAAGAACAATCATATTACAAACCACAATCACAAACAACGAAATTACACCAAAGAACACACAAAATTAAACTCCACCAAATTTCATAATTCACAAAATCACGTGAAAGAGATCAAATCTCCACCTCCACGCCAACAAGCAAATTCAACAATTAAATTCTCATGCCCTACACAAATTAAAATGAAATATTATATAACATTAATAATTAAATAGACTCATAACTAGATCAGTAACAAAAATTTGGCATTACAGGTTACGTATTTCAATACCTCTCTTTAGTAATGATCAATGATAGATATAGAATTAGAACATTGAATGGATTTAGCTTTATTAGACTTCATATTTTAATTGAAAACATCATCATCTATTGTCCCTTCCGAATCACTAGAATCATTTACAACTAAGCACTGCAAAATATAAATGAATCAATGATCACGTGAATTAGGATAATGAAAAAAATAATGCTAGTAAAGATGGAATCAAACTTACTGCTCTTCATATGAATCCAATCTCTAGTACAAATCAAAACTTGGACAATTTTTGGCAAAAATGAATTTCGATACTTATTCAAAACTCTACCACCGGTACTAAATACAGATTCAAATGCAACTGTAGAAATATGAATTGTCATCACATCACAGGCAACCCGAGACAGTATAAGATGTCAAAACTACTCTTCTTTCCAAAAGGTTAGACTATTCAAGTCTTTCTTTCGATCAAGCCTTTTTTCATTAAAATACAACTGTAACTCAATCACTTGAGAAATAGGAGAATCTTTTTCTTCATATTTTTCAAAATCCTTCATTTTGTACAAAATTATTACGAATATAAAATAAACTACATTGATCGCATTCAATTCAAACAAACTAAATTATATTTTACCTAAAAATGGCTTTCAAAATCATCAAGACCATGAGTCTCACTAACTTGTTTCTCGCTACTTGAAGTAATTGGAACAACATGTGACAAGTTGGTAGAGTACAATTCAAAGAGCTCAAATAAAGTATCTTGAACACACTTGAACTCATAGGAATCACCATTATAAAGTCTTGAATAAGCTCAATCTACAAATTAAATTTTGTACCGAGGATCTAAGATGATAGCAATTGAAAGAATTACACTATATTTTGGCCAATACTTGTCAAATTTGGTGTACAAATGACTTCCCATCTTCCTTATAAAACTATTATTATCTGTCAATGCCTCCTTCAAAGTCTGTTGAATTAGGAACACTTAGGAGAAATATAAATTAGTTGTGAGATATGTTGTACCAAAGAATAAGCAAGTAATTTTATGAAATACCCTCAACAAATTAGAAATCTTTTCAACTTTGTTTCATTCTTCTTGAGAAGGACAATGTCTATAATTAGAATCATTCAACTGTAAATGAGTAAATGCACGACAATAAAAAAGAGCACTCTCAAGCATAATATAAGTTGAGTTCCACCTAGTTGGAACATCTCCTTGCAAACTTTTTTTACTCTCTAATGAAACTTGAGCAACACAATCTATGAACTTCTTTTTCCTCCCCGATGAACCTTTAACATATTTGTTGCTTTCTCAAATTTTTATCACTGATTCATTAATTTCTTTAAGCCCATCTTAGACTATCAAATTAAGAATATGTACACAACACCGAATATAGATGAACTCACCATCCCTCAAGAGAGCTTTTTTAAGGTTAAGTTGACTCTTTAACAACTCAACAAAATAATCATTACTAGAAAAATTATCTAAAGTCAAACAAAATAATTTTCTTTCAATTCCACAATCAATCTAAAATGTATAAATTTTCTCAGACAAGACAATACCAGTATAGGGAGGGGGCATGAGACAAAAGTTTAAAATTTTTTTCTGCAACTTCCAATCTAGATCAATATAGTGGGCTGTGAGAGAAATATATCCATTAGTTGATATAGAAGTCCACAAATCAGATGACAAATAAATTCTTCCAGGAAGAGAAACCAACACAATTTTAAGATTATCCTTCTCTCTCTTATACATTTTTAACACATCTGACTTTACAATATTCTTAGAAGGCATCTTGATATTCTCATAAGCATACTTGAACATTACTCTAATACCCTCATATTGGACAAATCGAAATGATAAATCATGATTAAGTATTGCCTCAACCGCTAACTCATGAAACTTTTCAGGATCAAATTTTGTGAATCGCATTAGCATAGATCCTTGACCTTGACCTAGAAGTAATTGTTCAATATTCCCAGTGTCTTTTTTCACACATTTTCCATGTGAGTATGCATGTTACCAGTTCCATGACTAAACTTGCATATATATTTGATACCACAACTATTATATGCTGCACGCCTCTTACCGTCTGGATATTTTTCATTTAATTTTGTAAAGTATTTTCATACTATTGAAGTCTTTTGTCGCTTACGATTAGATTTACCTTTTTTTATAGTTGTACTAGTTGATGTCTGTGTTGTTGGAGCTGCATCTACCTTAGATTCATGTCCGACCTCATCTTCTTCATCAGAAACTATAATATTGTATTTGAAAGAATCCATCTATTTAAGGAAAAAAAATAGAGTTAAAAAACCAACACAGAAAGTAGAGTTATTTGCATGATGTTCTAATTTCCTGCTAGGAATGTGTTGTTTCTGGTGACGTTACAAGTTCAGTCCTCCACAGATGAGCAGTAAGAAAGGAAAGGATAAAGATAAGCTCCATAAGTCAGGTAATTGCAGTGTTGAAAGTAGAATACTTTTTCCAGAGGTCATAACCATTGTCAAAGTGTTTGATGAACATCTTGCAACATATCTAGTAGTGGCAATATTCTAGGAAATCGTTGTCCCATTCAGGAGGTACCAATTTTGGAGTCTCCTATGATACTTTGAAAGTTAAAAGTGGTACATAATTTGAAATATGTTCTAGGATTGAGTCACTAGAGTTATAGATATCTGAGACATTGCTCTCTCTTAA